TTGTCGATAAAATTCGAACGGCTATTATAACTGTCCCAATCATCAACATTCTAGAATCGAACAATTGACGCGAAATATTTCATTCTTGAATGATATCATGCGTTCGCGCTCTCGATTTACGGAGAACACAAACTTTTCAGTGCTAATTGGCCACTGCGTGAATAGAAAGATCCTTAACGTGCAATCCTATCGAAACTTTCATTTCTATCAATCAATCAGGAGACACAAGAATACGACGAGAGGCGATAGTACCTTGCATGATAGCCAGCAGAATAACGATAACGAAGAAGAAGAATGATATATCGTAGAGCATTCGAGGATACTCCAAATCGTCGCCATATGGTGATTCGAGTTCATCACCAATACCTCCACCAGCTCGTACACCGGCGTAGAAATGGAAAATGAAACACTGAAACAATGAATCCAATGAGACATATGTGGAGACAAAGTTCGGAGCTGCGGTCTCAGATATTGACGTGTCGCTCTTACTGTCATCATCAGTACGTTTGAGCAGACCCCATTCGAAAAACTGACTAGCTTACATTCTAAATCTAACCTCATAAACGCTATATTAAACAAATTCTGGCCACTCAAAGTCGTGTTCTTTATACGATCACATTCAATCACCATTTCTTTCTTGTTTGGCAGGTATTTTATTGTCAGTTGTTTCTTTGATACTCATCAAAATTAATTTGAGGAAAGTGGTATACAGAAGGCTGCGAGAAGGATCGAACTAACTCACCGTGAGCATATTGTGGCACTTCCGATCCGGTTCTTCACCCTCCTCACCCTCTTGTACGTAGAATTTACGGAAGAAATTAAANGCTACCACCGTATACAAATAGACGACCACTAATGTCATCATAATGGTGAGAATCAACTGAAATTTTGACATTTTATCAATGGTACTGCACGTGATAATGATGAAGGTTAGCAAATCCCCGGAATCGGATAATCTCCGGATTCGATAACTCACCCTTACGAAGCCAATCGAACAGCTACATGCATACACCGATAAAATGATGAGATCAAATTTTAGAACGATGAATAGCGAAGAGAAACCAAAACGAACAGATAATTTACTTCCGAATCGCTGATTCACACAGCAGTTGATCAAAAACTGATTAGTTATTTGATAACACAAATGATCACCTGTTGTAGATTATGGGTGACTGATTGTAGAATTGCTTTTAACATAGGGAACGATAGTACCACATCGATCAGGTGGAATGCATAAAAGAACGGTGACCAGAACACACCGGCCGCTGAACAGAACAAATAGTTGACACGGTACAAGAACTGACCATTGGTTAGGATCACACCGATCCACAGCCAACATGTGTACCTAAAATATTTCATAGATATAATATGATTGAGTTGTACAGAAATATTCACTAGTTCTTATGAGTCCAAACAAATTACCATTGATTTCTAAACTTTATATATTCCTAACTTCACCTTGAATAGGATTTTCTGAAATTTGCTTTACTTACAGCAATGTATGAGGCAAATATATAAACATTTAGAGGTGAACCGGTTCACTCACAATTGAATATGATAATTGACTCACCTATAATCGAATGAACTGTCACCAGCCGAACGTTCTTCACCAAGCACAGCGTTTAGCGTTTCTTCATCGACTTGATCTCGGAACTTCTGGCGGGTCTTTCTTCGCACAAATTTGTCCCAATACTTCATTGGGAACGATTTCGAGCTGATCACAATTCTATCCAAATACCTGAACATGCAATCAACTTATAAAAATATAACACAATAACAATAATAAGTTTAGTATCATATGCATTGTTCAATAATTTGTCACATTCACTAAATTTACACCGTTGAGCTGTTTTCGGTAGTTGAATGAATATAGTAGCCAAAATGAAATCAACGGAGGCAATTATCAGTTTCTGAAAACCGACGGATTCATTTATATCTCATTTCGTACGAAAAGATGACAATGTGATTTCTCATCTCAAAGAAGATTATGGAAAATTGCCCTCCTGTCCACAGAAATATTCAGATAGAATCCAAAACAATCCAACAAATTGAGAACCTGACGCTTTTGGCAAATGGTTCGAAACAGAATGAAAGAAGTAAGGATTAAGGAAGTACCAACCACATGACCGTGTCGATCAAACTGCGTTCTTCGTCCTCCTCTTCAGTTACCCAACAGCCATCGAACATCAATCTTCGAGCAACTTCTTTCTCGCGTTTGAAAGTGATCAATGGAATCTGAAACCTCAACAAAGCTTACACTCATACTTCGGGATCACAATAATTTCGAGCAATTGCGATGACAATAACAAGGTCACATGAGAAGGCAATTACATTGGCCAAGGAGAAGGGTGCTCTGAATCAAAGAACATTGAAAAATTCGATTGACCGGTTTCATAAACAGACCTAACATACCAACGGCTGATTAACTTCAAAATTTGAAAAAGCAATCTACACCACGGATTTGATGATAAACGACCAATTTTAAATAAGTGTAGCTTATGAAATAGGCCGCTTTTTGAATTGAAACACTGTTCACAGCTCTATTATTAACAAGGTGATAGCACTTACAACGTCGTTTCCAAAAAAACTCTTACAGAACCAATTGCATAAAATAAAACGTGATCAAAATTTTTATTCATCGAAAAACGATTGAACGGATGATAATAATGATAACCTTCAGCTGATAGAATGAGACGAGCAAGGCAAACGAGGCAACCGCATGCACAACACTGATCCAGTACAGTAACTGAAATGAGACGATAAAGCAGCATCTAAACAAGAGGAGCATCGGATATTCATGTAAGGAAAACCATCGAAGCAACCAACAATTTGTCCACAAAACCGTTCCGGGATGTTAAAAAAAGTCTGATTGTAATTAGAGAAGAAATGGATACTTTTTGGGTATTGCCTCATTAACGTGCGATTTGCTCACATGACAAGGTTCATACATTCAAGTTTATGAAATGAGTGGAAAATCTGGCAATAAAACAAATGAATATACACCAGCAACATTGTCAATTCAATCGCTACAACGCAAAACAATACCTGAGCAAGCATCCAC